AATTATTACCTATGGGTGCAATGTAACAAAATAAATCCCTGTAATAAGTAAATGTTAATTGTATTATAATTGTCACCCAAAAATGGTTTATTCAGCGTTGAGTTGCTCCACCCTTTCGTGTAACTTGCAGCTAAAAACCAAGCTGCCGATAGTCAAAAACTAAAGTGGTGACCACAAGATGCCCCATCTAAATGCCTAAATTGAGGCTTACAACCAGTCCACTTACCAATAGGTCAGGGGTGTCAAACTCATTTCAGGTTCGGGCCAGATACTGCCCACTTTGGGGTGCCGGGAAAAACGAATCCATATGAAAAAAACACATCAAGCTCTCGTCTGTCATAAGCGGATGTCCATGCGTGGGGACATTTCTCCCAATGACAAAGCTATCCGGCGGGCCGCACTGGACGGCCCAGCGGGCCAGATTTGGCCCGCAGGCCACGAGTTTGACATCTCGCAATAGGTGATGTGAATTACCAGTCCACTTCTTTTCGTCATGTAACATGAGCTCTTGATGTTGTCTGCCACGGCCATTTAAAAACAACAAAATAAACCTTTGTAATCACTTTAACTGCACACACATTAAACGCTTCAGGGCCTTGAGAAACCAATACCCACGCTGTAATAAGATGGACTTTTCTTTTAATTTAATTTTAGCAGAAGGTTTTGGCTGCTGCTTGTAGTACACATGCATTCACTCATACTGACAAAAATACACCCACTGGTATTAATCTAATCATTTTGGGTTGGCAGGATATATTTCCCCTCCTGTTTTCCGCAACTGCACACACACATTCCTTAATGTTCTGCACACACACACACACACACACACACACACACACACACACACACACACACACAGGTATTAAGTTATTTGGCAGGGAGTTTTGGCTATAGTCTTTGGTATCTATGCAGACACACACTTATGAATTAACTTTGTCTTGGCAGGCAAGACGTCTGTGGCTTTTTATCTGCAAATACACAAACATGTACACAAACACACATTGAAGAGAACGAACGTACCCACAGACAAACATGCACACACAATGGGTGTAATCCCCCTATACATGCCAGAGCTTTGGGCAGAGCAGGGATTTTCCTCTTCAAAGAGCAGACCACCCCATCGCAGCCTCGGAACAATGGTGGCCGAACTCCGGAAGATTTCCTGTGGCGGGACACACACACACACACATACATACAATGATACTGTAGCCTGTATTATAGACACACACACAAAATGACGTGTCAAAATACAAGAAAATGATACTCAGGCTCATCTTGTGCCTATGGGCATGGGGGGGACAGTGGCTTTTGGACCGGAGGCAGACAGCAGGTCCAGGACCTATATGACACTTGACTAAAGAGCAAAGACGCCGAGCGAGAGTGAACTGAAACAGAACCAGCGAGGAATAAAAAGGAGGAAAGGGTAGCCTCACTTCCAGCCTGCGCTGTAGTCTTCCATGTATCCCTTCAATCTTTGCACCCCCTTAGCTCACTTTGTGTGGGTTCTTTTTTATTCTTTTCTCTTTTGTTATCTTTTTTTCGCGGGGGAACACGAGGCGGCCGTCTTTCCTGCACCGCCGCCTATTCATGCCCAGATAAATTAAGAATGTTTGTTGCTTAAAACGCAGCCTTTTGAATTTAAAGACAAAAGATGGCGGGTAACAAAGAGCGGCCCGCTTGTTGTGAGGGAATGTCGGGGGCTCAAATGGTAAGACGCCCCCCCCAAACACACTTCCCCTCGCATCCTCTTCCCTTTCTTCTCGTCTTTTGTAACTGAAGCAACACATTCTTATTTGATGCAGAAATTGTCTTTCTGGGGTTGATTTTTTATGTCTTTGTGGACACACACAGAGACTGTATTGTTGAATTTCTTTCTTTCTTTTTGTATTGTTATCGTTGTCATATTTACGGCAGTCAAATTCCTACAATAAACAGATGACACACACTGGCTGCTTTTAATCAGAATAACCGTGATACAAAGTTCACCAAGTTGGTATTCACATCGTGTCATTTTGCAGCTTTTCTTTCTTTACAGGAAGGAGCATAAAAAAAAACTAACAAGAAATCAAAATTGAATTCTTCTAAGTAAGAGTGTGTGTGTGTGTGTGTGTGTGTGTGTGTGTGTGTGGAAGGTTTGGGTGTTAGTGTCCACCCGGTGGAGTTTTACATTTCTCCCGGTGATTTATTTCTCTCGGTTTACCGTTGGCCGTCAAACTTCATGAGGGAGAAATCGCTCATGTTGCAACATTTCAGGGGAGACACAGATTGGCTTTATTTTTAGAAACATTTTATGAGCACCATACCTCGCCGTCTTTGCCTTGTCGCCTTGCTGTCTGTCTTCGTCAGACACACATGCACGTGTGCAGTACGTCCGTTCGTTTTACTTTCTCGATGTTTGCATTTTTTTTTCCTTTAGCTGGGGATCTCATCCAGAGCAGCTTTCGTTCTTCCTCAGCCTGACAATCTCTGGTTGTCACCATAGTGGCTTTTTAATGATGATTCCGATGAACTGTTTGTACGTTTGTAGAAGTAACAACTTTTTTTTAAGGTGAGACTAAAGGCTTCTTCTCATTTAATTATCTTATTCATGTACATTGAATTGTGGCTGTCTATGCAGTCCAGTCCAGTCCAGTTTTTGACACTAAAGCTGCTGCATTAGATGCAAATAAACTAAGTGACGTAAATTTAAGGTAAAATTATTCCACTTTAGCACCATTTCAAGAGTTTAAGCATACTTTCATGATTATCAGGATAATATTGCAAATGATTATTATTTCGGCCATGTTAATCGTGGCATGAGGATTTGTTGGACTTTTACAAATTCCACTTCTTATATGCATCTTATTGTTGCCTTTTCTACATAAACTCCTCATTTCACAAGAAAATACTTCAGGAAAGGACGTAAACCCATTTCACGTTAAGTATATATCTATATTTATCTATACAGTTCGTATATATAATGAGTAAATACTGTCTATCATGACCTCACTTCTGCCTTCACTCACTTAAGTCTTTTACTCTGAAGTGTTAAATGAATATTTTTACTCAGTTGGAAACATTTTTTCTACATGTAATAATACTGTGTGTGAGTTTAATACCTATAAACATGAGGTAGGACCCTAAAAACAACCATCCCAGTGCCTTAGCGGCTGCACCAAAGCTGAATTTGTTACAATATTCGCTATGTCTGTACTTTCAACAATATGTATGAGGAAAATAGAGGGAGGTTAGTATTGAACTTCAGGATCAACAGTGCAGAAACACAGCGGTATACATTTAGAGAACGTGCCAGGATTGTTGGTAAGCAGTGAACTGCGTTACCTTCTATACTTTGTTTGAAATTCAGTTGCTCAGTTGTCTGGGTAATGAAGTGAAGGTAATGCTAACATTTTTTATTTGGGAGTGAAGTAGTCATCCAACCTTGGTTTATCCGTGAAAGATTGTGAGAAACGCTACTTCGAAATGTCTTCAAGGCTTGAGGAGCAGCGGTAGAAAACGTGGTTTGATTGTGCGGTGGCGTGTGTCCCTGTGCCTTTGTGGAGATGCAGCCCCTCATTTACGGCGTCTGCTTGACAACTAAACACGAGCCCTTCTGCCAAACAAATGGGAGCTGTGTTGGGGGGAGGAGGCGGCCCCGGCCCAGGCTGCAGGAGACGGGCACTCTTTGACAGCTGCTTTCATCGTGTTATTATTCCTTTTTCCGCACTCAAGCATCTTTTGGCTTCCTAAAGTATTTCTGTCGCTCTTCTACCTTTACCCCTTCACATCCCCCCCCACGCTGTGTCTCCCCATCCTTCTGTCACCGGGCTGTGATTGGCTGTTATGACATAGCCATGGCAGATCTGTCAGCCTCTTCCAAAGCCCAGTTTAATTACTCCTTTCCACCAACGTGACACATTCATGCACAGATGCATGCAAACTCGCACAGGCGACAGAAAGCCACTCACAAACACACAACCCCAATGTGCTCAGCTGCACAAAAGAAATGGGCAATTGAACTCGCCGCGTCCGCTCTACCTGACAAAGCAGCCGCCCAGGTGTTTTTCAGTTTTGGTCCTCTGTTTCTTTAGCAGAGATTTGAAAACATCATGTAGGTTTTTGAAGGGCCAGCCGTCGCTGGCTTTAATGGGCACAGATCGATCGCACGCCCCACTGTGCCAAGCTTTGAATGGCCAATTAAAGCCATTGAGGGGGGAGAGAATGGGGACGGGGGGGTTATTGTGAAGGAGTGGGTGTTTGATTATAAGAGGGCGATGAGAGAAAAACATGCAGCGGGTTGCCGTATAGCCGGTTAACGTTTAATATTCTGCGCTGTAAACTTCAAGACGATCCCTCTTTCCTCCAGATAAAGACTCCCTGACAGATGCACTCAGCTCTGCTTCCATAAACAGAAGACAGCAGAGCGGTGGGTTGAGACCTTGACTGATGGAGGGAAGCTAAGACAGATGTACAGATTTGCTAGATATCAAGGGGAAGACAATGAGAAAGCCACCTGAGATTGTTTTCATATCACCCTTAGTTTTCCCTCTTCTCCCTGTAGATTTCCAGTTCGTCTTCTAGCCTTTGTTTCCATTTCTGTCCCTTAAATCTGCATCTCTGTCTCGCCCTTCTAATTTATTTTTGGAATCTCTCCCAGTCAATAAACACCAGTTTATGGTCTCAACCCCTATTCTCATGTTCATTTATTAAATGATGGTCTATTTAGAGTCAAATAATGCATAAAGAAGAAAATGCTTTAGGGTGGGGCTACCTTATGATTGACAGGTTGCTAGCACAGCGTTGAGTTCTCCGTAGTTCGTACAACAGTGAGTGATGTCACCTCAACTATGTTACTTCTTGTCTCTGTCCTTTGTATCTCTTCCTCGCCTCTTGTCTTTTCCTCAACTTTACATTTTTCTTACTTTTACTCAACCTTTTTATCGCTTCTGTTCTTACTCCCATTTATTGCATGACCTTTTCCTTTTTTCACCTCTCATCTTCCTCCTCTCCACCCCCGCCAGGTACCCTGCCCTACGACATCAAGATTGTAATCGCCGGCAACCACGAGTTGACCTTTGACCAGGAGTTCATGGCCGACCTGATCAAGCAGGACTTCTACTACTTCCCTTCTGCCTCCAAGTTAAAGCCGGAGAATTACGAGAACGTCCAGTCGCTGCTCACCAACTGCATCTACCTGCAGGACTCTGATGTCACCGTACGAGGATTCAAGATTTACGGCTCCCCCTGGTAAGTAGCCCCCGCCATCCAAATGCAAACTTTCAGCCTTCATTCCTCTCCTTTAGTGTCTAGTGTGGGAGGGATAATCCATCCAAAATGGTTTGGTGTCCTTTGCTTGAATACGGGAAAAAGGATTCTGTTTCTGTTCTGTTTTTAGATAATGATATATCCTAATGCATCATCACATGGAAAACCATAACCTCATGTGTTGTACGTTTGAGGTTGGTTTTATCTTCAGTCCCGCTTACTGCTCACTGAGTTCAGTGCTTTCATTTTGGAGCAACCCTATCCCCTAAAGATTACTTTCCCATATGAAACTGCATCCTCGATTTCATTTTGAGGGAAAGATATTTTCTCCCACGTTTGCAGTTTTAAAGACAAAACTACTTGGTTATGCTTGGTAAAGGATCATGCTTTGAGAGTAAAATAAGTCTGTTGCTGCTTAACTTGAGTTGTATGTAAAAGTTAGGATTGGTGAAGAGGAAACTCTTCTAGCAACCAACTAGCAATGAGTGCCCTTAATTTAAAAAAAGAACAAGAAAAACAAGAACCGTCAAACAAGAAAACCGTTCCATTGCCACCAACTGATTTACAATAAAATGAGTTAGAAGCAGAGCACAAAATCCTCTAATGTTTGTAGGAGACCAGGGTGTCTGGGGAGTCCAGATGATCGGTATACTAGTGGCGGGCCGTGCATCTTTACTAGGCCCTTCTGTGCCGTCTTACTACAGTTGAATAACAAAAAAACCTCATTTTGACTCCACAGTTACAGGTAATTATTTGTTTTATGTAAACACCGCATATTAACATGACACTGCAACATTCAGAGTGAAATAAGAGGTTACATGAAGCTCAACACAGGCAAATACACAAACTGCAGATATATGAACACAGGCACGACGGGATGCTGCTTAATCAACAGACAAGGCATATAAATCAAATTAATGTAATAAACTCAATGACAAGACCAAACTCACAAGAACGAATCACATTTATTTACAACAAAGCATCACAAAACAATCCATCAAAACACACAAGAGCACGGGCCATTCAAATATCATTTACATCAGAACGGTATTAGATGTATAATAAAAACCACACAATGGACAAATGAACACGCTACTGCAGACGTAAAAAACACAAAAGCTGTTCACCAAATGCTGTTCACTATCTAGAGACAAAGTTCATCCTAAACTCTAAATACTAAGATCTGCTAGCTGGCTTTCTGTTTGATCGAAGTCACGCTGGCCCACTGACCAATTCATGCTGCGCGGTACGTTAATGCAGACGTACTGATGAGGCTACCTCGGTACTAGTGGCACATGCAAGAATACGCCCAACATAACGTCAAACTAAAGAGCTGATTGGTTGAAGACTATGATTATCAACAATATTGTCCCCATACACTTACTGTAAATGTGCAAAGCCTATTAAATGATAAAATAGCTATAACTTTGATTCTTTTTAGACAAGCAGAGAAGGCTTAGCCGGCACCGTGTGCATGTTCTCTTTCTTTATTTCGCATATATTGAAATTGATTTTGTGTTTAATCAATTAAACACATGTCATATGTGAGGTTAGGTGATGTTCCACCATAGAAAAACTACACATCAAATATTGAGTGTCGGGGCTGAGGTGGCCCAGCAGCTCACTCTTTGCCTTGGGCCACTTAGCAGGTCAATCCCGCCATGAATTGTTGCAAAAGTTAAAAGGTAGCTATTGTGACAGTGCTTTCCAACTGTTCTCCTTTTAACTCCACCGTTGAAGCATTAAAATTAATAATTGATGATGCCTTTTTATTCAGCTTTGACTTGCTTTCCGGTATTCTACCATAACTCCCTGCTTCTTTTCCGTATGTGTGAGTACGAGGGTGAGTGTGTAAGTAGTCCGTGATCCTGTGTATTATGGTGACAGGTTTCCAAGGGGAATGAGTGTGTGTGTGTGTGTGTGTGTGTGTGTGTGCCCCCAGTTCTGGGTAATTGCTTTGCTGTGATAGCAAGATCCCTTGAGTTTATTGCTCATGTCACTAAAGAGAGTTGCCTCAGGTGGACTGAGAGGAAGATAGAAGTGGCAAAGAAGAAGGGAGACAGGGAGCGGACAAAGGAGAGATGTAGGGAGGTGCAAGACGTAGAGGTAGATAAAGAAACAGAAGTCAGACAGACAGACAGCCAGAGGCAGGGGGGGATGGAGATTTAGGGCGAGATGACTTTATTCAGATTCACCGGCTGGCCCTGGCTGCTGCAATAGGCACGTGAGGTGATGTGTGTGTGTTCCTGTAAGTTCTCTGTTTGAATGTGTCAGTGTGGGTTTGTGAGTGTGTGTACCAGTGTGTGCTCTCACTTTCCTTGGACTGCATGCCGTTGTGCGTGTGTGCGCGAGAGCCTCGGGGTGTATTCCTGCAACACTGAGGGGTTCCAGCTGGAGACTCCGGGTGTTTCCCCCCTCTGCACTGTCAAACCACCCTTTTTTGTCCACCATCTTTCCTTTCTTTCATCACTCTCCCCCTCTATCCTTATTGCGCCCTTCAGTTATCCTCTCTTCTCTCCCTCCTTTTCCTCTTTCCACTATAAACCTCCTCCCGCTCTCTCTTCATCTGTTCATTCATTTCCTTTCTCTTTCCTCTACAGTCATTTGATGGGCTCTGCATGTAGATGGATTAAGTACACACACACACACACACACACAGACATAGTAGCGAGAAGGTGCTTGTTCCGGCCCCTACGTTGCCATGGCGATGCCAGGCTGGCGCAGTTTTATGGCTTTTGGATTACCACCCTTCCCCTCAACATATCCATTATATCCCCATCACCTCCACCACCTTGAGGTGCTACCCGCCTGCCAGACTCTCTGACCGGCCTGATTATCTCAGTGCTTCTCAATCCATCTGTGAGTCTGGGGAAAGATGCGGGGTCCTCTTTTCATTCTCCGGGATTCTTCTGTCCTTTTCATGGAAGGGGATTTCACCATAACCCAGTATCTTCCTCTCTGTGGAAGTCTGAAATCATCACTTGCATATTTAGAAACAAAGACAAATTAATTCAAGTCCAGTTTGCAAGGATTTTTTGTTGTTACACAGGCTAATCACACAGCAGACTGCTCCCGTCCAGCGTTGTTAGCCATACATACGGGAAAAAAATGCATGTATGTTAATCCAACGTGATCTCCAAAACCTGTTCGTAAAAATGTATACGAAATATTTGACATAGAAATTTGTAACAATACATACTAACTGGCGGTGGTTAACCCAGCCTCTTGAGTGAACGTCTCTCCGCCATGTTGGATTTTTTGAGGGGGTTAGGGTTAGTATTGTATTCTTACAATTTAACATTGATTTCTCATTAAAAATGCAATCATAACACGTTTATTTTACATCGTTAGACTTCACGAAGTGTGTTTACGGGGTGCAGGTCCCCATTCACTTGAATAGGGTGACGTCATCAGTTGCCAGTCTGTATTTATTTAGTATGTATCACTACGAATTTGTATCTTCAAGATTTTCGTATACAGTTTTTACGAACAGGCTGGTTAATCATACATTGGAAGAGCCAGAGGATGGTTAAACAAACTACAATCTTTCTGCCAGGAGACCACAGCTCCTACCCATATGAAATAACAAATCTGTTACTTGTACTTGCACACTGCATTAACAGACTTCCATAGTTGTCTAAATCTAAATGTCACTGTAACGCCAATGTTAATGTCAATGTTACCGGGGGGTAACACACGTTTATTACACATGTATAACATTTAAAGAGTGCAAAATCTTTGGCGATTGGATTCCACCTAAACCGGGATAATCAAGGGGCCGTGATGCTCGGCAGAATCCCTCTGGAGTCCAGACACTGGTGGTGGTGGTGAAGAAGGTTAATGAAAACCAAGGACAAGTGAAGAATGCCTAATAGCAGCTGGAGGTGCCTGGGGTGGAGGAGAGTCGCATCCGGTTTCGCACTGAAATGACACCAGACAGCAACACAGAAGGTTTGACAGCAACTATCGGATTGTTTTAGAGCCACAGCGCCGCCTCTGTTGGTCGTATACACCTGGGTGCAGCCAATCTCCGCTGATTGGATAATTCTGGGAGACCAGCTGAAGCATATCGAAATTACGAGTGGCATAAAGGGAGTCTTCCTTCCAGAACTACCACTTAAGCTCCAGAGACAAAAAATGTATTAAATCGAATGCAGCTGAGGCCAATTACACCACCACCTGGCACAGTTCCCTGAGACACTCTCCCACTCTGTCCCCTCTGCAGCCGAGCCAAACCACGCCCGCCGTCTAACTTATGGTACATTCACTCCAAAAGCTAAGCGAATTTTCGCCCCGCTTTACTCCAGTTTACCAGTATATCGCTTCATTCGCGCCTGGAAGGGGGTGTGGCTTATCTCTGTTACGTGTCTCCGTAAAAACAGTTATTGTTTCCGCTATTCACCATGCCAATAAATAACTACAATTTCGGCTCTTTATTTGTTGTGTGAATTACACAAACGTCGGAATCGCAAACGGTCTTGTGTTCGTCGCGTCATTCACGACCCGACGTGTCTGTGCATTGATTTGACATGGTCTGGTGTGAATGTACCATTAGGTCATGCCGGATGGCTCCGCAGCCTATCCCCCTCCCTGAGAGCGGGAGAGAAAATCAGCCACAACCGTCTGCGCCGCAGCCTAAATTAAAAGGCTGATACCACCGTGTGGTCCGGGCGTTTGTATCCTGCATGCGGTGGAGCCATTGGAGCGGTGCGTGAATGAGGGTCCCAGGACAGCACAGGGAGTCAACGACCCACCGGATGGACAGGCACTCCTTCTCTACCGTGCTGTACCTAGGCTCCCTCTCGGACAGCTTCTGGCTGATACAACACGGGGGCTGTCCACCCCCCCGTCCCCAATGGCACTGCCTCGGGATATCATGTTGCCTAATCTACTAGAACTAACACAAACCAATATCCACGTGCACTCCGGTGAAAGGGCCCTATCAGATCCTTGCCGATTCGCTCAAACGGAACCTCCATTGA